CATAGGTCATGAAATCATCCATAAAATCACTTATTCAACCACTACAAATCACTAATTGAACATTATCAAGATTGAAGGAAAGGTTCCTTAGCCACTTACCTTGCAAACCCAAGAAAAGACCCAACTTAGCACCTTGCCTTCTCAAACCACTTCACCAATCACCTTAATCCTACAAGAGAAAGGTTTTTATGGAACAAATCCAAGTTTTAACGGTTGGTTTGTGAGATTCAAGCAAGAAATTGGAAGCTTTTCTTTCTTTTGCTTGCTAGAGGAATTCGGCCAAGAGAGGTAGAAGATGAAGACTATTTGGGTCAAATTTGGACTTTTGTAAAGATAAAGAAAGTTAGGCAAAGTTAGGTAAGTTTACTCCAATAAGGAATGGACACTTGTCACTTTAATTAATGCATATCTATCCTTTTGTCTCTCCATCATTAACCATCTAAGCAACCTCTAATTATCTCATAACATCTAGCAAATTAATCCCAGTACACAAAATTTAACCTAATTGGCCGAATTTTACCGAACTTTCCGCACTAGCGGGTCCCACGTCCGATGTACACTCTTAATTTCTCGAAAACTAACCGATACTAGAAAAATCATTTAAAAACTATATTTACTCGTAAAATTTATGTAGAAAAATTTTCTAATAAAGAAAATGCAGAAAACATGCAATTAAAAAAAATACGGGTCCTCACAAAAGGAACAAGGAACAAAAGTAGAAACGGAGAGCTCAAGTAATGAATTTGACAAGGAATTGAACGAGGAAAAGAATTGATGTATACAACGAAAAAAAAATGTCCAAGTACAATGATGGAGTTTCCCAAGTGTTTACTTAATTTCCTAATTGATTTTTGGAAACAAATTAGGTGTTGTACTTATTTGGAAAATTCCTTAAGGTTGGCCTAAATGAAATCAGAGTTGGTTCCCAAAATTTCCAGATTTCCTTCTCCTTAATCCTTTCCTAAAGTCGGCTGGTCAACCACGTGCAAAACAGATTTTGGTAGCTTCCTATTCCAACCGAAACTATCCTCTGAAAATTCCAGAATTTTGCTTCTAAAAACCCTCCATAAAACGCGGCTATACTCCCCTTTCCTTGCTCCCAATTTTTCGTTCCTTACTCCCCCTCAAAGAACAACCAATTCGGCCCCTCCCCTTCGCACCACACAAGGACAGATTTGACTCTTGGTCCTAGGCAATGGCGTCACAAGATAATGCAAGTGATGTTACACAAGAATCCCCCAAGCGGCTTGCCCAAGAAACTCCCAAGAAATTTACTCCTAAACCAAGGAAGCCCTGTATGGATGCAAGAGCGTACAAGAAACTTTTTGTACGAAGGGAGGTACAAGTCTTCTAGAATCAAGATGATCAAGAATCTCAAAGGGTGATACAAATAATCAAGAGGCCAAGTGTTGGAGACCTTCAAGAGGAGGTTGGTCAGAATTTTTAAGCCCCCTTTTTTTTTTTGGCTTTAATTTTTCTGTTTTTGCGGATCAATATTCAAGAAACAAAGTGTAGCAAATCAGGTCTTGGCAATAAAGAACACGATTTCCTTTTCTTTCTTGTCACCCGCGCAATTCCTCTTTCTTTGTCTCTTTTTTTTTTGACTCTAAGAACACACAATTACTCGGCTGTTTTTGGGTAAAATTCCAGAATTTAATGTCAATCCAATGTTCTCCTTCAATCCTCCAATAACTATCAAGACATGTATCAAAGTTTCGAGACTTCAAGATTAGTTTCAAGAAACTCAAGAAACCCTAGATTATTGTAGTCCCTCTTCAAGATTCCAACCCCAAACAAGTTTAACCACAAAAATCAGTTTAGGAAATTAATGAAAACAACTTGGTGGAATAAACTAAAGTTTGGACAGATTTGGCACGAAACTTGCGCCCAAGGAAACCCTAGTTGCAAGTGAAAACCCTAGCCGTCGCAAATTTTTTTTCTTTTTTTTAATATTCAAACAGAATATGCAATGCACACAACTCGGTTACACTTGAAGGCAGGCTTCGAGACAGAATCACACAACAGGTAATGCACGAAGTGGACGCGAAGCAAAAGAAACCAAAGAGCGAAGCAACAAGAACAAACAAAGGCGGACAGAAGTTTTTTTTTTTGGTAATAATAATCGGACTTGACACAAAGAGAGACACGACCAGTTTTGCAAGATAAAATTTACTAGAAAGCTTACGAACAAACTCAACGGGATATACTTGATGTTGTCGACTAGCTCTGGATACCAACTGATGCGCGACGGATCTAGACGAACACCAAGTTGAATCGATATGCGGAACTTTGACCCTTCTAGAATCACACGTCACAAACTAAGGGTAATCCTTAACCCAAGACTAGCAAATTTAGTGAACCAAAAGTATAGTTTGAAGAACGCCACAACCAAGGAGACTACTTGATTGATAAGTTCGATGAACAGCTTGAGATCAATTCTCAAGTATTCAAAGGAAATTCTCTTGAGACAAGAGAGAGTGAGTAATTCTCGAATATTTTATAAAATCTGAATTGTCTTTCATGAATGAATACCTAGGCTATATATAGCCTTACAAGACAAAACCCTAGACTGTCAATGGACGATCTTGCCCTTCATTAAGGGTGTAATTGTCCAAGTTGTATTAACTTAATATCTAACAACTAATTAACTAATCTAAGACTCTGGATTAGGTCAAAGTGGAGTGTAATTGACCAAAATTATTTAGTGCTAACAAACAACTAATAATGGTAACTAAAAAACCCTAATTAACAAGCTAGTAATCTGTGAACTAGTCTTCACTTGATTCTTCCACCTGAAGGAAAGTGTATAGAGTAGTTTCTCCATTATGTAATCCCTCAATGGTCCTCAAGTCATCACCAACTCGTTCTTGAATCGTGCAAACAAGAGCTTGAAGTGATTCTTGAAGTCTTCTAGCACGCGCTCTTGTAATCGGACCACTTGGTATTTGCATGACTTGAGCGCTAGAAGTTCGAGCAGCCTTGAGCCCCTCCTCATTAATCCTTATCAAGTGTGTTAATGTTATTTATGAGTTACTTGAACTTCCTTGTTTTATTTCTCGTACAAATGCCATTGTTACTTGAATTATGTGTTTGCATGTTTTCTTGGTCTCATTGAGCGTCAGCTCACCCCATTAGTTTGTTTTCCTTAACAGGAGCTCGAGATGGATAGAATTTTGGAAGAAGCCGACTTGATTACTTTTGATTAGAATCTGGAAATGTAATTGATTAGTCGACTTCTAATGATTGTATTTTGTGAAAAGTTGATGTACTTTTGGTGACTTATGATGTAAGATTTGAATGTTCCATTAAGGAAGCAACTTTTCTTCATTTCGACTTTTATTATATTGGTTGTTATCCTTTAAGTTTGAATTGGATTCGTATCGAGTCCTGGCGAGAGCTAGGTAGGCGTCCCGCCGATACCATTTGATTCGCCTTAGGGAGAAGTGGGGGCATCACAATTGATATCAGAGCACTAGGTTTTGAGATCTACACGGGGAATGTATTAGAGACCTTACTTTTGAGAATAGGAATGAGATAATTTAGTTATACCTTAAGATGATGTTTGAACGAATTAGTGACTTTAAGTTCTAACCTAAAATTTGTGGTTGTTTTGTAGAGATGGAGAACGGTAATCGAGCCCATGCTGCCAATGGTAATGAGCATACTAATGGCCACATGGAGCCTCTTAGGCCTATCTGCTATCGAGCACTTGGTGGAGGAACTCACGTTCGATTCTCGCCTTCCTCTAGATTTTTCCGTTGTCCCTATAGGGCGATGCATGCTTATCCCAATGACCTCGTATTGTCCATTGACGATGAGCGACGACAGTTGGTGAATACTAACAGAGCCTTACTCCAGGAGATCGAGGAGCTGGGCGCTATAGTGGATGCTCAGGGTGCTAGAATTATGGAGCTAGAGGGGACGGTGGTAGACGAGTTGGCTAGGACTGAGGCCGCTCGTGACGAGTTTTAGAGAATTAGGGCTTGACTCGCTAGGGTAGTCGAGGAGGTCTGGGATCGGGCCACTGGGATTCTAGCTGACACACTATGCTGGTAGAGGAGGTGATGGACGCTGTTCAGAGCCCGGTTCCTGAGAGCACTCCTGAGGAGGAGCCTTTCGAGGAGGATCCGGAGGAGGACCCAGAGGAGGAGGTCCCGCCTGACGGTCCTGCTGAGAATTAGACTTGGAGTGATGAATTTTTTTGACTTTTGTAGTTAGGAATAGCTGGGGTGGTGCTAGTTCAAAGGCCATTGTATTTTGCTTAACTGTGTGGCCTACTTTTGAGGCACTTGAATCTACTTTTGATGTGCATGACTAAATGTACTTTTGTAACACTTGTGTGCTATATTTTTCGTAAATGCCCCTTGACTTGCTAATTCTACGAACCTTAAAGTGTTAATATATATTAGTTATTGTTATTTCCAAAATTTTCATGTTGATTTTTATTTTAAGTATTTTTTCACGTAATTATTTTATTCTTGCATTTAGACATAATTAAGATCATGGATGATCATTACTGTAAAAACACTCTGGACCAAAACACTCTTTGCAGCTAAATAAGGTAAGTTAGGGTTGACGCTGGCAGACAGCGCAGCCATGGCGGCTGCTGTGCCGCAGGGGGGCGACAGCCACGGAGGCTGTTCTGACGCAGGGGGAGGTCGAAGCCGCCGTTGAGTTTTGCGGCGGTGGTAGCCGACAGAGGCAAAGTCGACGGTTTCAATCCGGGGGCTGTTGCCACATATCGTGGAGAACCAGCCTTCAGAATCTCGAGGGCAGAGATCTTGGAATTAGCACGTCCGTTTGAGCATGCGCTGGTGGGCAGATTTACGTATAGCAGGCCGCCGATGGAGGTGGTGCGCAAGTTCATCTTATCGCTTGGTTTGAAGGGGGACTGTGCGGTGGCCTTGTTGGATACTAAGCATGTTTTGCTCAGACCAACAGTAGAGGAGGATTATACTCGTCTGTTCGTGCGCCGGACATGGTTTATCAGGAGTTCGCCCATGACAATCTCTAAATGGTCGCTGGATTTCACAGCGAATAAGGAGGCTTCCATTGCTCCCGTATGGGTAAGCTTCCCTGGCCTGCCATTACCTTTCTTTGGCAAGAATCCACTCATGAAGCTGGCGTCTGTGCTAGGGCGTCTGATGAAGATTGATGCGGCCACGGGAAATTTACGGCGGCCGTCGGTGGCGAGAGTGCTGGTGGAGATTGACGTTTCACGCGTACCAGTCAAGAGATTATGGATTGGTGACGACGAGTATGGGTTCTGGCAATCAATGGAGTATGAGAAGTGGCCGGCCTTCTGTCCCTTTTGTGAGAGGTTCGGGCATGTTCAGCAGGACTGTTTCAAGAAGTTTTCGGATCTCAAGCCAGTTGCAGCGCAGGCCATGGCGTCCTCGGGGGCTGTCGAGGACCATGGTAGGCTGAAAGGGAGGGAGGAGGATGAGGGGGAACAGGGGAGGAGGCAGAGGGAGTTGTCGGAGGAGAAGGCTCCAGGTGAGGGGTGGGTGCATAAGGGGACAGGTGAGGTTGGGGTAGTGGAGGGGTTTCAACAGGAGAAGGCGGCTCTAGGTGAGGGGTGGGTGAATCTGGGGACAGGTGAGGATGGGGTAGTGGAGGGGTTTCAACAGACTACAGTGGAGGGGGGGTGCAAAGGGGACAAGGCGGGGCAGGCAACAGATATGCTAGGAGTGCGTTATAGAGGAGGCAGGGCAGGGGATCCAGATTCACGGGGGTTGCAAGCGTTGCTGCTAGCGCCTGATGGGAGGAAGGGGGATGAGATGACTCTCAGTAATACCTTTGCAGCCCTGGAAGGGGAGAGTGAGGAGCTGTTGGAGATGGGGAATCCCAGGGGAGCGAGGTCGCTGAGTCCAGTGCGGGGAGAGGCTAAGAGGTGGGTGTCAATGCAGGAACTCCGTCAGGCGCAGATGCAGTTGACGCGTCGCTTGAAGGCGGGCAGGTTGGAGAGGTTCTGGAGTGCAGGGACGGGCAAGATGGCGGAGGGGCAGCTTCAGAACACGCTGGACAGTAGCATGGGGCAGATAAGGAGAGGCAACAAGGCCCGGCGACAAGGGGTAGGGGTTCAAGAAATAGGTATGCACTCCGTTCTAATGTTAAGTCCCATTAATTTTTTGGTTTGGAATATACGGGGTGCGTCAAAAAAGGACTCACTTCGTTATTTAAAAAAGATGAAGCATGATTATAACATAAAAATTCTGGTCTTGTTGGAACCTATGTTGGAGGATGGACGTTTGGAATATGTGCAAAGATTTTTAGGGTGCTCCTCGCAGCATCCTATGCGGAGGGGAAAATATGGGTGTTATGGGAGCTGCCGCTTCATATAGCTTTCAACACACATGCGGATCAGTTGGTAGATATGGAACTCAATTTCCCTACGGGTAAAGTTTTCTTTTCAGCGGTCTATGCACGCTGCACAGGTGTAGCTCGGAGACCCCTTTGGGGTATCATGGAGATGCTTGCGGGGGAACGGCAATCTCCCTGGATGTTGGCTGGGGACTTCAACGTGATCTCGGAGGCCTCGGAACGACAAGGGGGGGCGCCTCCGAATGCTCGGAACATGGAGGAGTTTAATCAGGCAGTATTTAATAGTGGCCTGGCGCCGGTGGACTTCGAGGGGACTCCTTTCACATGGACGAATGGGACAGTGTGGCAACGGCTGGACAGGGTGTTGGCAAATAGCGCTTGGACTGAACAATATGCTATTTCAAAGGTGCTGCACCTAGCAAGGGGTCGGTCGGATCATGCTCCACTATTGATTAAGTGTGGCATGGCGGGACGGGGATCAGCGGCTTTCAGATTTCTTAATGTTTGGACGCGGCATGATGCTTTCTTGGGATTGGTGAGACGGGCATGGGAGGAGGGTATCCCAGTACGAACAATGCCTGAGCTACATAGAAAACTCGCAGCCGTGAGAAGCAAGTTGCGGGTATGGAATAAGGAGGTTTTCGGGAACATTGGGGACAGGGTGGTGGAGCTTGGCCAAATTATGAAGGCAAAGGAGGAGCGTTATGACAGGGAACATACTACTGCGGCCAAGATTGACTATCATGAGGCTAGGGCTGCATACATGCATCAGTTGGCAATTGAGTGTGCTTTCTGGAGGCAGCGATCAAGAGTTAAATGGATTCATGAGGGGATGCAAACACAGCTTTTTTCCATGCCGTGGTAAGGCAGCGACGTGCAGCTAACTATATTGGCAGGATAAGAAGTCCGGCAGGGCAGTGGCTGACATCGACGGAGGATATTAAGGAGTCGGCAGCGCAGTTCTTTGAGCAACTTTTTACTTCGGACAGAAGTACGGATCGTCACCCGGCACTGACTTTCCCCCTGCCGAGGGTCTCGCGGGAGGACAACGAGAGCTTGGTGCTTCTGCCAACCATGGAAGAAGTGCGTGAGGTGGTTTTCTCTATTCATACCGACAGTGCCGCTGGGCCTGATGGGTTCGGGTCGGGATTTTATCAAGCGTGTTGGGAGATAATTAAGGTTGACTTGGTGACGGCGGTCCAGGATTTCTTTCAAGGCGGATGGCTGTCAAAGGGAATCACCAACACGTCGATTGTGTTGATACCTAAAGTGCAGGGGGCATCATCATGGCAGGAGTTTCGCCCAATCAGCTTGTGCAATGTAAGCTCCAAGATTGTCTCCAAAATTGTGGCCAACAGGTTGAACAGGTTGCTGCCAGCACTGATTTCCCGTGGCAGTCCGGCTTCGTGCCGGGTCGGCAAATCATGGACAACATTTTGTTGGCTCAGGAACATGCGCAGGAGTTGGATCGCCGACTGGAAATTTCGAATCTAATGCTAAAGCTAGATATGGAAAAGGCGTATGATAGAGTGGAGTGGTCTTTTCTTCTATTCATGCTCAGGGAGTTCGGCTTTGAGGAAAATGTGGTGGATCTGATTTTTCGCTTGGTGGCAAACAACTGGTTTTCCGTGCTCATTAATGGGGAGCAGGCGGGTTTCTTCAAATCGACAAGGGGGTCAGACAGGGGGATCCTATTTCTCCCTCGCTTTTCCTACTAGTCGCGGAATTTTTCGGGAGGGGATTGGAGGCCTTGTTCCAGGCGGGTCGTCATAGGTTTTTCCACACCGGAGGTATGAAAGTCCCGTATTTGGCTTTCGCCGATGATGTCATTGTGTTCACAAGATTGTCGAGAGAAGGTTTGGAGGAGGTGGCAGAGTTTTTTAAGATCTACCAGCAGTATTCAGGGCAGAAGATTAATGTGGACAAGAGTTGCTTTGTCTGTCCGTCAGGGACACCGGATGGGCACGTACAACTGGTGACTAGCATCCTACGTTTTCAACGCCATTTCTTTCCGATGATTTATCTCGGGTCCCTATCTCTCGAGGCAGGAGTGCATCAATAGCCTTTGATGGGATTGTCGCAAAGGTGCGGGCGCGTGTAAGTCATTGGAGTACGAGATTGCTGTCTACAGGGGGGAAATTAATTCTTATTAAACATGTGCTGAATTCAATGCCATTGTATTTACTCCAAGTGATCAAACCCCCAAATCAGTCTTGACGACACTGGGAAGGGTATTTAATGCGTTTCTTTGGGACAAAAATCAGCAGGATAAAAGAATTCATTGGGCGTCCTGGGAGTCAATGTGTTTTCCAACGGAGGAGGGTGCAGTGGGGGTGAGGTCTTTGGAGGACATGGTCAAGGCCTTTTCTTGTAAACTGTGGTGGAAGCTGAGGCAGCGAAGGTCGTGTGACGGCCCCACCTTCTCCTTAGGCGAACCAGAGGGTTCGGCGGGTCGCTTGCCCAGCTCTCGCCGGGACTCACTCTCTACAAACCTCAAACAAATTATAATATAAATCTCAAATTTTACATCAAATTCTCCAAGAATTACATGTTATAAGCGAAGCGTCCACGCTTCCGCTGCGCCACTCTGATCCTTGATGCCAGCTATTATACCGGAGGAATTCCAAATCTAAACTGTACAAAATATAGGCCAAATCTAAACTGTACAAAATATAGGCCATCCAGTCACGTGAATAAGTACTACAAGTCCTTCCTTCGCCTTGAGCCCTGTGGAGGGGAATAAAATAGTTTCGGGGTGAGCTAAAAGCTCAGCGAGTAACCAGTAAAATCAGTAATCAAATCGGTTTCACAATAGTTCATTTCAATGATGTCATAAATCAAACGATAAGTCAAGAAACAATTACAACATTTACAAGAAACCATACATGAAAAGGATACGTTCGTTCGTTCATTCGTTCGTTCTCCTGTCATTCCCCTTTCCTTCATTCATTTGAAAATGCATTTTTCATTTGTCAATGAAACCCTCGTTCGTTCGTTCGTTCATTCAACCTTTCCTGGACATTGACCAGGCTCCACCAACCTCCACCAACCTACAAGGTAATACTCGAGTATACCAAACGTTCACCCAAGTCACCATATCGCCCGACCGAGTCCGCTTCTGGCTCGAGTCGATCGGTAACAAGGGGCAGTGGCCAGTTCAGCCAAAAGGCTTACATTCATGCACAAGTAACATTTCAATCGTTCCATCTTTGAAAATTTCACATTTATCGAGGTCGAGTGCGATAAAGTACACACTCGCCTAGAAAACTCGTTTTGGAAATCATTGAAAGCACTTAACACGTTATCAAACGATAATACAAGTCATGAAGTCAAGAAAATATAGCAAACAAGGAACACTCACATGCAAGCACGCATGATATGCAATCGAGTAAATAATGCAAGAAAACAGTTGAAAAGTAACTTTGGAAATAGTTTGAGGTCACTCACCTCCACGGCTCAGGAACCAACCATCATATATCATTGCCTTGCTCAAATCCAAGTCTTAGATCACAAACTCAATGCAATCAAGTCCTTTCAAAGTTCGGACAGCACTTCCACTTTGCTTTCTTTTCCAGCCGTCAAGGCTTCATTATTTCCTCAGTCAGTCCCAAAGTCACACAAATAAATTCATTCAATAGCCGTTCAATAAGCTCCAAGTAGTACAAGTACAATTCAAGCTAGGGAAGAGTCCGGAAATGAAAGTTAAGTTCTAAACCATAAAAACAGTTTTGACATCAGTTTGCGGTTTCGGCACCACTGGCACTACGATTATCAGATGGAGGTGTAAGATACACCGTTTCGAAGCTAAGAGATAGGGCTACAATGTTGAAGAAGGCTACTCAGTCCAGTTTCGAGTGTAACCAGGTCAAAAATGCAAGATACTACACCAGAACCGCAAAAAAAAACAGGTTCACAAACCGCATTCTGGTTCAAACATCATAAGTCAGGCTCTCTAAGTCCAAATCAAGTGATTCCAAAGCCATCCGAAAGCTATGATACACGGCTACAATTCATCAGAGGATCTCAACAACCAATTCCAAAGTATTCCCAACCAAAATAACCAATTACAGACGCAATTATCAAAATCGGGTAAAAACAGGGCAGCAGGGGTAATTCAGTCTTTTCACAAGTTACGTTGCTCCGATTGACCTGAAATTTTTCAGGCATATCTAAAATATCATTAACTACAGCTTTCATGTTTTAACCCAAGGCCAAATCATGCATTTGCATGGTCAAAAATGGAAAACTGCACGAAAACAGAAATCTGGGCGCGAAACAGGTTTCATGGACAGTCAATGGTATTTCGGTCATCTCACATGCTACAGTGGTCGGATCAAGCTGAAATTTTGTAGGCAACTAGTTTGTATCCTTGGCTAAAACTTTCATGTTTTGGCAAAAATCTAATTCTGTAAGGAGCATGGTGAAAAGTCACGATCAGATTGGGTGAAAAGACAACCCTGTTCACTGAACTCCTACCTAGACCCGTCTGGATATTTCCGTCTTATCTCAGGCTACCCAGCTCGGATTGGGCTGAAAATTTACAGACAACTAGAAAACATCATTCCCTACAACTTTCTTGTTTTGTGCTAAGGCCAATTCCGCCTCTAACTAGGTGCTACAGTGCCGAGCAGAATTGGGGAAATGAAACCCTGACTGGAAATTTTTGCATTCAAGCCAGAAATTTTCCACTGACACATCTCATTAGCTATCACAAGTCATTAATTTAACATAATCAAGAACAAAGGAAGGATGGCTAGACATGATACCTTCAAATATCAAGAAAGGTGATGACCTAGGGATTTTTCTTCCAAAACAACTCCACCAAGAGCTTCAATCTTCCTTAGCTAGCAAGTTTTATGGAGTGATTTGCAATTTAATCGATTGGAACTCAAGATTTGGACAAGAAATTGAAGTGCAAGATGATGGATTTTCTCTCTCTTTTTCTCTCAAAATTTCGTCCAAGACAAGCTAAAATGGAGAGAAATTGGGTCCAAATTGGTTTTAGTAAAGTTAGAAAAGTCTTGGTCAAAAGTCAAGGTCCAATGGTTTTGTGACAAATGGTCCTTTAGGGTTTTAATCTTATCTTTTTGTCTCTCCAATAATAATCAATCTAAGTAACATCTAATTATCTCTTAGCACCTTGTAAAATAATCACAGTATCCCAAACTTAACCTAATTGGCCGAATTTTTCCGAACTTTCCGCACTAGCGGATCCCACGTCCGGTATATGCTCTTAATTTCTCAAAAACTAACCGATACTAGAAAAATCATCTAAAAACTATATTTACTCAATAAAATATCTGGGAAAATTTTCTAATAAAGAAATTGTCAAAAAGGCGGGCGATCAATAAAATAAACCCTAGAAACTTAGAAAATTTTCGGGTTCTCGCACTCATTCTTTCGGGGCGTCACAATCTCCCCTCCTTAAAAGAATGTCGTCCTCGACATTCCACTTGTACTAATCCGATCCAAATAATCCTCACAAGTCACTCAAACATTCCAAGCAAGCACTAAGAGTTACTCTAATCCCACTTATCAATTTTCATTTCTACAAGGAATAACTGATATTGCAAACCAAACCCACAGTCCGGCATCCTAAACTTCAAGCCTAGGATACACTACAGAGATCTGAAGCCTAAGCTCTGATACCACCTGTGACGGCCCCACCTTCTCCTTAGGCGAACCAGAGGGTTCGGCGGGTCGCTTGCCCAGCTCTCGCCGGGACTCACTCTCTACAAACCTCAAACAAATTATAATATAAATCTCAAATTTTACATCAAATTCTCCAAGAATTACATGTTATAAGCGAAGCGTCCACGCTTCCGCTGCGCCACTCTGATCCTTGATACCAGCTATTATACCGGAGGAATTCCAAATCTAAACTGTACAAAATATAGGCCATCCAGTCACGTGAATAAGTACTACAAGTCCTTCCTTCGCCTTGAGCCCTGTGGAGGGGAATAAAATAGTTTCGGGGTGAGCTAAAAGCTCAGCGAGTAACCAGTAAAATCAGTAATCAAATCGGTTTCACAATAGTTCATTTCAATGATGTCATAAATCAAACGATAAGTCAAGAAACAATTACAACATTTACAAGAAACCATACATGAAAAGGATACGTTCGTTCGTTCATTCGTTCGTTCTCCTGTCATTCCCCTTTCCTTCATTCATTTGAAAATGCATTTTTCATTTGTCAATGAAACCCTCGTTCGTTCGTTCGTTCATTCAACCTTTCCTGGACATTGACCAGGCTCCACCAACCTCCACCAACCTACAAGGTAATACTCGAGTATACCAAACGTTCACCCAAGTCACCATATCGCCCGACCGAGTCCGCTTCTGGCTCGAGTCGATCGGTAACAAGGGGCAGTGGCCAGTTCAGCCAAAAGGCTTACATTCATGCACAAGTAACATTTCAATCGTTCCATCTTTGAAAATTTCACATTTATCGAGGTCGAGTGCGATAAAGTACACACTCGCCTAGAAAACTCGTT